TACTCCCACTAGGTTTATATCTGGGACTCTCCACCATTTGACCTTAGAACTGAAGAAGCTTCTCGGATGAGAGGTGAAACGTCTTCAAGTAACTTAAAGAAGTCCAGACGCTTTTCTTTGCAAGCTCCTTTGACCAGCTAGAGTATGCAGTCAGAACATAAGTACTAATAAAAAGCTTATTGCATCAGATGCTAGACTCATTTTGACATTTACGGACAATGAAACATGGGAATGACAACATGCTTGACTCATGTTAAAGAAGTTTTGCAAAATGTTACCTAAAATCACCAGCTGATGCAGAATTGCCGTCTCATTGCCAGACATAAAGTAGAATCTGTGTAGTTTTCTGGAAGGTGATATATATGTTTTATTTCATTCCCATCAGACAGCTGACCATGAGCTGTCTGGTGTTTCTCAAGTGCTCCCTATAGTCATCCCATACTCTCTCCTTCTCATTTGCCCAGGACTCTGTTCGTGTGTAAATTTATAAAGCCAGCTAAAGCCTCAGGGTGATGCAAGAGGTGGAAAAATGGGAGTGTCTAAAGCTCAGTGCTTACCTGTATGAGGAGGTTTTCAGGAATTAGTTACACAAGATATTAAAATCTATAAATGCATTTGCTTTACATTGTTTGTTTTCCTAAACCTTTCCAGTATCAAATATCCTAAACATTACAATCTGCTTACTAACTGCTATTTGAATTTTTTTTTATCTCTACTGGAAAACAGAAGATTGTGCTTGTTGGCAGACAAAAGCGCCTGGAAAAGCTCAACAATGCCACTGTAACTGAAGACTGGGAGAAAGCTGCCTAGCTTTTATAAGGGGGTTAAAAATACGGCGTAACTAGATCCACCCTGCAGTCTATTTTTAGAACAGCCTGGTTGATAATTTGTTAGTTAGTGTACTTTTTGACTTTCAAATATGAGCCCGATTAAATATTTGCAGAACAGCAAACAACATTATTCAGGTTTCAGACTCTCTTGTCTGTCAGGTCTCTGTATTACCCATATGGAAAATTATGCAAAAAATTAAGAATGACGTAAGGTTGAAGTATACATTCACTACTGTAGTCAATGGGAATTTGTTAAAAAAAAATGTTTTCTATTTTTCCCCCCATATGTTTGGACTTCATCACAGACATAGTAGTTTTTGTAACATAAAGCAAACACTAGAATTGTAAACAGTCCCCCTAAGTCACATCTAGATTCACACACTTGCCGAGTGGTGGATACTGTAGTGAGTATCCTGAGCTATAGATACAGTGGCTTGCAAAAGTATTCAGCCCCCTTGAAGTTTTCCACATTTTGTCACATTACAGCCACAAACATGAATCAATTTTACTGGAATTCCACATGAAAGACCAACACAAAGTGGTGCACACGTGAGAAGTGGAACGAAAATCATACATGATTCCAAAC